CAGACAGACAGACAGACAGACAAACCCAACTACAGTAACCCTCGCTGCGCATGCGCGCCGAGGGTTAACTACAGTACGCTCGCTGCGCATGCGCGCCGAGGGTAATGAAAAGCACTGAAGTGCAAACCCTCGGCGCACTGTGACGCGCACGCGTAAGTAAATGCAGTGCGCCGTACCACTAATTGATGGGCTGGGTTTAGTTTTAGCTGTTACTCGTGGTCTCTTGCCAGCTCGCGCAGAGTCTGACGCGGGCTAACTACACTACTAGATAGGATGCGAGAGGCGATACACGCCCTGCGTTGCATCTTCTGGTGCCTCCGAGGTACGCAGAGCACGCGGATCGATCAGACCGCGGTAAGCCTTCCCGTCCGTTGCGTATTTGCATATTGGCTTTTTCACGCTCTAGCTCTGCAACGGAGCATTTTCAGAGAAAACCGCACATATATTCTGTCCTTCGTCGCCCGTTGGGTAGATGGTATCGTTTCTGGGACGAACAGACATTCGAGAGGTGAGATGTAGAGTAACAGACACACACACACACACACAGACAAACCCAACTACAGTAACCCTCGCTGCGCATGCGCGCCGAGGGTTAATTATAGGGATGGGCATGGTACCTAGCATCACAGATGTATGGGGCTATGATAGGGAGGGAGTTTTGTTCATCTTCTTCTTCTCCTTCTCCTTCTTCTTCAGATTCAACACCCATAACTCAATAACATATAGAATGTAGATACCCGAAGAGGACTGGTCATACTTATTTTTTTGTTTATTGTAAACAACGACAAATAGCCCCCAGGAACATTATAATTGGTGTCAGTATACCTCACAATTAGAGTGAGCTAGCTAGGTTCGCAAAGCTGAGGTTTACTAAATCCCGTATATAGTAAACCTCAGTGGGGTTTACTACGTCACGCGGAGCCGCGGGAACTACGCGATTTAGTGAGCCGAGGAGCCCTGAGCTGTCGGATCGGCGTCCCGAGCGCAGCGAGAGCTCTACTAAGGGTTCCGAGGCTCACTAAATCATGTAGTTTCCCAAGGCGATGCGTCTAACCGGCTTAGACTACAGCGCAAGTCCGTCCCGCTGCAGTGTCCGTTGTAGGCGTTGCTGCCCTTCTGGATCACGCCGCCTGGCCGTTTGCACGCGTTTTTCCCTGCACGCTTTCTCTAGCGTCTTCCTAGCTCTCTGCGCTGCTGCTAGAAGAGCCTGTTCCTGGTTTCTTCGTGGGAAGAACAGCTGCAGAAGCTCGGTCCGTCGTCCGCACGCGTGGCATCTTTTCGAATTGAAGGCGTGGTTGCCGGGGCTACGAATAGTTACGTAACTAACAAAATTAGTTACCGCTACACTCGCAATCTGATTGGTCAATTGCGTGTTACCGTAGTCTAGAACTGCAAAATCTACATATAAAACAAGAAAACATAACAAAATGTACATGTAAACACCTCGAATCAGCGTCTACTACGAGCTATATGAACGAAACTTTTAGACATAATGTATTCAATCACCAACATTAAAATCACAACAATACATGTTTGTAAACAACAACAAATAGCCTCAGGCACTTATCTTTAAATTTACTTCTTCACTCCTCAAACTTTCCAATGGTATATAGCACGCATAGAGATGAAACTTGGTATGTATGCTTATTACCATGACAATTACATGTTTCCATGACGACCGCATATTGTTTGAAAAGCCTCAGGCAATTTTCTTTAAAACTACTTCTTCACTCCTTAAACTCGCTAACGCATGGAGGTGAAACTTGGTGCACATGTGTTTTACATCGTTTCGATGATGACCACAACAACAAATAGCCCCAGGCACTTTTCTTAAAAATTACTTCTTCACTCCCCAAACTTGCTAACTGTAGCACACATGGAGGTGAAACTTGGTGCGCATGTTTTTACATCGTTTCGATGATGACCACAACAACAAATATCCTCAGGCACTTTTCTTTATAATTACTTCTTCACTCCTCAAACTCACTAACGGTACCACGCAGCATCATTTCCATGACAACCACTTCTTTTGAACAGCAACACATAGCCTCAGGCAAATTCTCAAAATTTATTTCTTCACTTCTCAAACTCGCGTGCATGGAGGTGAAACTTGGTACACATGTGTATTACATCATTTCCATGACAACTACATGTTTCTATGACGACTACATATTGTTCAAATAGCTGCAGGCACTTCTCCAACTTGCTAACGGTAGCACTCATGGAGATGAAACTTGGTCAGAATGCGTATGATATTGTTTCCATGACAACCACACATTATTCGAATAACAACAAATAGCCTTACTTCTTCACTCCTCAAACTTTATAACAGCAGCACACATGGATATGAAACTTGGTACACATGTGTATTACATCATTTCCATGACGACAACAGGTATTTTTTTCCATTATTAATTTTTGAAGGGGGCTTGCCCCCTTTCACTGAGATATACGTAGTAGTATATTAAAATAAGTGGAGACAAGTAAATTAAAAAAACCTGCGAATTGAAAAAAAGGAGCATATAGGGATGGTATAAAAAGAAAGGGAGACAAGATAGGGATGGGATACATGAAGCATGGTGAACAGATTTGAGCACACTGACACCCAAACCCCTCCACACAATCCCTATATTGTTGCCTAGGTGAAGTATTAAACATTCAACATAGTCTAGCTTGAAAACATGAAAAAGTCACGCTACTGAGTAACCAAGAGTACAAATGGAGTGGCACATACACCAGGCAGCAATATTGTAGGGATTGTGTGATGGGGTATGGGTATCAAATCTGTTCATTAACCATCCTTCCATCCCTATCTTGTCTCCCTTTCTTTTTATACCATCCCTATATGCCTCTTTTTTTAATTCGCGGGATTTTTTTATTTACTTGTTCCTTTTGTCTTACAAACTAGGGTTAGTAAGGCACACGTTGCTTGTGCATCTAGCAGTTTATTTATGAGGTATAGTTAGTGACGATGTGATACTCACCAAAGCAGGTCCCTGAACTGAATGTGTATCCATCCAGACACATGCAGATGTAGCTTCCAGTAGTATCAACACATGTACCAGCACTTCCACATGGATTGTTTTGAACACACTCATCGCCATCTACATAAAGTACAGTTGCAGGGGGAAGAATTTCAGCAATTGGAGTCACGATCTAGTTAGTATGAATAAAGCATAATTTTGTGTTAGGAAGGTACTGAGACACTCCATTTATTATACGTGGCTTATGCATCCCCCAGTGTTCTTGAAGTACTTTTACTTACTTTCACATTTTGTTTCCATGGTGTTCAATTCAAACCCATCGTCACACACGCAAGTATAGCTACCAATAGTATTGATACACGTCCCACCACCACATACACCTGGTGTTGCCACACACTCATCCACATCTGCATGGAGTCAAAGGTTTTGTGTGGCTAGGGCTTTTATGATTAGGCAGAATGATATTCCTACCTAGCACAGCTGCGCAGCTTAAACACTGGCCTCCAATACTGTAGTAGAGTCCTCCAAGTCCACCATTCTCAAATGATTCACAGCATTCTCCAACATTTTGTTTCTCACTGCCAATTAGTGACTCACATTGGGTGTCACTGTGGCATTTGATTGCTGAAAAGAATGAAAAGCACTGAAGTGCAAACCCTCGGCGCACTGTGACGACCGCGCGTAAGTAAACGCATGCGCAGTACCACTAATTGATGGGCTTGGTTTAGTTTAGCTTATTCGTGTTCTCTTGCCAGCTCGCGCAGAGTCTGACGCGGGCTAACTACACTACTAGATATCATGCGAGAGGCGATACACGCCCTGCGTTGCATCTTCCGGTGCCTCCGAGGTACGCAGAGCACGCGCATCGATCATGCCGCCGTTGTGTATTTGCATATTGGCTTTTTCCAGCTCTAGCTTAGCACGAGCTTTTTCAGAGAAAACCGCCTTTATTTTCTGACTTCATCGCCCGTGGGTAGATGTATCGTTTCTGGGCCGAACAGACGTTCGAGGAGTGAGATATACAGTAACAGACAGACAAACAGACAGACAGACCCAATGAAAAGCACTGAAGTGCAAACCCTCGGCGCACTGTGACGCGCACGCGTAAGTAAACGCATGCGCAGTACCACTAATTTATGGGCTGGGTTTAGTTTTAGCTGTTACTCGTGGTCTCTTGACAGCTCACGCAGAGTCTGACGCGGGCTAACTACACTACTAGATAGCATGCGAGAGGCGATACACGCCCTGCGTTGCATCTTCTAGTGCCTCCGAAGTACGCAGAGCACGCGGATCGATCCGACTGTGGTAAGCCATCCCGTTCGTTGTGTATTTGCATATTGGCTTTTTCGCGCTCTAGCTTTGCAACGGAGCATTTTCAGAGAAAACCGCCTTTATTTTCTGACCTTCGTCGTCCGTTGGGTAGATGGTATCGTTTCTGGGACGAACAGACGTTCGAGGAGTGAGATATAGACTAACAGACAGACAAACAGACAAACCCAACTACAGTACCATCGCTGCGCATGCGCGCCGAGGGTAATGAGAAGCCCTAAAGTGCAAACCCTCGGCGCTAAATGCGCGAGTTGTATATATGCTGGGCCATGCGTCATCGACAGAGCCAGTAACACAAGTCTCGCTGTAACACAGGGTAGTTACCCTCGGCGCGCATGCGCCGCGAGGGTACAGTAGTTACCCTCGGCGCGCACGCGCAGCGAGGGTACTGTAGTTGGGTATGTCTGTGTGTGTGTGTGTCTGTTACTCTCAATCTCACTTCACGAGTGTCTGTTCGTCTCACAAAGGATACGACCTACTTAACGGGCAATGAAGGTCAGAAAATATGTGGGATTTTCTCTGAAACTGCTCCGTTGCAGAGCTAGAGCGTGAAAAAGCCAATATGCAAATACACAACGGACGATGCGGCTAACTACGGCATAATCGCTCCGCGTGCTCTGCGTACCTCGGAGGCACCAGAAGATGCAAAGCAGGGCGTGTATCGCCTCTTGCATCCCATCTAGTAGTGTAGTTAGCCAGCGTCAGACTCTGCGCTAGCTGGCAAGAGACCACGAGTAACAGCTAAACTAAACCCAGCCCATCAATTAGTGGTACTGCGCATGCGTTTACTTACGCGTGCGCGTCACAATACGCCGAGGGTTTGCACTTCAGTGCTTTTCATTGGGTCTGTCTGTCCGTCTGTTTGTCTGTTTGTCTGTTACTCTACATCTCACTCCTCGAACGTCTGTTCGTCCCAGAAACGATACCCTCTACCCAACGGGCGACGAAGGTCAGAAAATAAAGACGGTTTTCTCTGAAAATGCTCCGTTGCAAAGCTAGAGCACGAAAAAGCCAATATGCAAATACGCAACGGACGGGATGGGTCTGATCGATCAGCGTGCTCTGCGACCTCGGAGGCACCAGAAGATGCAACGCAGTGCGTGTATCGCCTCTCGCATGCTGTCTAGTAGTGTAGTTAGCCCGCGTCAGACTCTGCGCGAGATGGCTAGAGACCAGGAGTAACAGCCAGAAACTAAACCCGGCCCATCAATTAGTGATACAGCGCATGCGTTTACTTACGCGTGCGCGTCACAATGCGCCGAGGGTTTGCACTTCAGTGCTATTAGCAGTTAGAGCAATAATTGCTCTAACCGCTAATGCACCGCAAATATGAGAGCCTCGGAAAGACCTGAGCAATTATTAACCCTCGGCGCGCATGCGCAGCGAGGGTTACGGTAGTTGTTAACCCTCGGCGCGCATGCGCAGCGAGGGTTACAGTACTTGGGTCTGTCTGTCTGTCTGTCTGTGTGTTTGTCTGTTTGTCTGTTACTCTTCATCTCACTTCTCGAGTGTTCTTTCGTCTCACAAAGGATACCACCTACTGAACGGGCAATGAAGGTCAGAAAATAAAGGCGGTTTTCCCTGAAACTGCTCCGTTGCAAAGCTAGAGCGCGAAAAAGCCAATATGCAAATATACAACGGACGGGAGGGCTTACCAGTCGGATCGATCCGCGTGCTCTGCGTACCACGGAGGCACCAGAAGATGCAACGCAGGGCGTGTATCGCCTCTCGCATCCTATCTAGTAGTGTAGTTAGCCCGCGTCAGACTCTGCGCGAGTGGCAAGAGACCGCGAGTAACAGCTAAAACTAAACCCAACCCATCAATTAGTGGTACGGCGCATGCGTTTACTGACGCGTGCGCGTCACAGTGTGAGCGCCGAGGGTTTGCACTTCAGTGCTTTTCATTTCGTAAGTGTCTGTCAGTCTGTCTGTTACCACGTTTTCTTCCACCGCGCGCACGAAATCAGGTAAATAACGATATGATCGGGTTCAGTGCTACACTGGGTTGATTTTAAAAAAGGCGATTTTCGTAAAACTACTGTGTTTTAAAGTTATGGCGTGAAAACCAAGTGAACAAGCCAATATGTAAATTAGCACAGGCTTACCTCGACCGCGTCCGTTCGCTCTGTGCGTCTTGAAGGCACAACAAGTCACAACGAAGGGCATGTATCGACTCACGCATGCTATTTACTACTGTAGCTAGCCCGTGCCAGACTCTCCGCGAGCTACTAGCGGGATACCACGAGTAAAGGCATAAAAAACCCAGCCCATCAATTAGTGGTACCGCACATGCGCAGTTCGCCGAGGGTTTGCACTTTAGTGCTTTTCATTGCTCAGGTGTTTCAGAGGCTCTCATATTTCCGCTCTTCTGTGTTTCAATGCTCTCGCCAGACGTTTTCTAAATAGGAAGGCATGGCTGCATCAACAAACTCGCCACCTGAACTATTATGCTGCATTGCGGCCTTGGCTCAGCATGTTTATCCATTGAGAACAGAGAGATCAAAACTGACGGAAGCCCGTAGATCGTAATTATATGGCGTAGCGCATGCTCCAGCGAAAGTGACATGATGCGTGCGCGCTAAGTAGCCGACCGTACGTTGGCGTTTTCGCTTGTTTTCACGCCATATCTCTGGAACGCAGTCGTTTCAGGAAAATCGCCACATTCGTATCCATCTTCTCGTTGTTCACAACCCGTTGGTGCCACTCATTGGCCGCCTCGTAGCCTGTAGTGCGAGAACCCGCGCAGACAGACCGACAGACCGACAGACCGACAGACCTAGTACCGTAACCCTCGCTGCGCATACGCGCCAAGGGTTAATAATACACATACATGATTATAGTGGCTAAATAGTGCAATAAAGTATGTAAACACACACAACTGGTCAGAGACTTAATGAAGGTAAGTTGAAGCTGATACTTACGGTCCCTACAGGTGGCACAGTAATGAAAGGAAATTGCTGGTATTGCAAGGAGAAAGCCTCCACCATTTGATCCACCACAGCAATCTCTACCGCTTTCAAGTATATTTGTTGTATCCAAGTTAGCTCCATTGCACCTGCTAGTCTCCACACATGCACTCTTTATAAGACCTACAGAAAGACACAAAAGGTTGTCTATAAATTAAGAGCCCCTTCTTCACTTTCCTCTTCTCCCTACATCATGCTCACCCCCTATCTACCTCCTTTTAGCTACACCCCTCCATTTCTCTACATTTACCTCCAACATCAGCACAGCTAAAGCAGGTCCCAGAGGGGTCTGCATAATCAAGGCCACCCGTGTTCCCACAGCACTGCTCTGGAGTGTCGAATGAACCAACTGGTGCTCCATCACATAAACCAGCAGCGGTAGACCCTTGATAACACTGATACCTATTTGCTATAATAGATCAAACACAGATTCACCTAATTCAAAACATATGACTTGTATGTACCAGTGATTGTTGAGCAGGGGACACAAGTTCCACTGTGATCATCCACAACTGTTACAGCAGCCAATCCTCCATGCTCAAATGCATCGCAGCATTCCAACTGAGAGTGTTTGTTTCCACTGAACTGATTTACAGGTAAGAGGGATGAGCAGTCTGAACTGTAGCAGGAATACGATGGAACTAGAAAAATAAAGATTATAGGAGTGTGTATTAGGATTCTCAGAGATAGACACAAGTATAGCTAGAAGTCTTCACATTAAACCCTCACCCTAGCCTCGTTCCCAACGAGGCTACCCTCACCCCTACTCTGCAGAGAGGGTGTAGTATATAGAATTTGCAAATCTGTAATATTATCATGCAAGGGCCCAAAATCACACCTTTTAACGTTGCATTCACCCAACAAGTCAGCTATACTTATGAGATAGTGATAAAATGTTCGGTTCACTGTTGTTGAACTACTCACAAAAGATGTAGCATAAACAATTTTCATAGCCCCAAGAGGTGAGCAATAAAGTAAGTATAAATATATCTAGCTACCCCGAATAGTGAACGCAGGAATTATACTGTGATCAGGGAGGCAAAGGAACGCAAGGTGCCAGAAGACTCAAGAAAAATACCTTTGATAAATTAATGGTCGCTCACCACAGCGACTGCGGCGCTCGCGAGACGGTAGCAAATTCGGGGGAGCAGCCTACATGAGAGGTGTGCACATGATTGGAAAACGCTGCAGTTTGCTAGCTATAATGGTGAGTTTTGCTGCTGATAATAGCGCCTTAGCTTGCAAGATACAGTCTGGAGGCTTCAGGGAAATCTTATTGCGAGAGTTTTCGCGGACGCTCAATTGTGTTTTCGCTCACTAGCTAACTAGTAGCTAACATCACTCAACAACTGTTTACCATTTTCACAAGAAAGGCAACTTTTGGTGACAGTATCATAGTAGGCGCCAGCAGAGGGAATATTACAGCATTTCTCTTCTGCTGTAGTTTCAATGTCTGTTGCAGGATAAAATTTGCCAAGATTTTGTCCTTCACAAATGCCAGTTTGTCGGTTGAGATACTGCACACACACTGCTGGATGTGATGATGGCAGACAATGAGCTGAGGATAAATAATTAATAATAGCTACTGATGTTGCAACATAAGCTTTCAAACATACTTCCGGCATTAATTAGAAAGACAAAGCTGACGAAACTGAGAAGTTTATTCATGCTAATGCATAGACTATATTTTCTTCTTATGTTACCGGGTAGGAGAACATTCATTTTATATCCATTGCAAGACCAATCGATTCATTACGCTATGCATACACTTTAGCCATAACCAGCATAGCTACATTACATATTTAGCACGTGCTGAACTTATAAAACAGATACATAGCTCTGTTGCCTGGGTAATGAAACATGAAACAGCAAGTGTGAGAGAGCTTAGTAAAATGGTGTGTGTGTTTCTTAGTGTTCCAGAGCCACTGGATGTGGAGATTGGGGATGTTAAACAGAACAGAAATATTATGTGATCGGTGGGACATCTCTTCAACTACTATCAAGTTATTCTACTTGAAAAAGTGCCTGCAGACCAACATTGCATTGCCGGGCTAGGCAATTTGGTATCTCAACTAGTTCCACTCACAAACAACTGTCTTCCATGAATTTCTGTAAATATTTTATTTTACTGCATAAAGCCTCCTTCTACAGCTCTTCAATAATAATGGTAAACCAGTAAAAGCTGACTTTGTCAAAGACAAACTCTTGGAACATTAATATTAATTTTGATCGGTGGGACATCTCTTCGACTACTATCAAGTTATTCTGCTTGAAAAAGCGCTATATATATATTCTGGAGATTTGCAAACGAAGGCGATCTCATCATGGTTGGTGTATATATTACAATCCTTGGACGACGACTGACACCCAGTGCGCGGTTTGCGCATGCGCGTACATTTGCCGGGGCGTGGCTGCTGTTCACAGCGATGGAGAAACGGCTCCCAGAAATATCACTGAGATGGTCAGATTTTTCAGGCTCCCTAGAAAAACTAAGGTACAAGACTTACACAAAGAACAGCACAGACAGGTAGGTTGCTACACCTTCTACTATCACTGCTTTACCACTGAATTCACCTCAGGGATTGGTTTAGAATAAATCCTCTCGAACTACTTTTACTAGGATGCCAAACATTATCTACAGGAGTTTCTACCAAACGAGAAGTGCGTTGTTTGTTATAAAAGGGGCAGTATGTTGATTGTTGTTAGTTGTATAACTATGATTCTGAAGTGTATGACTAGCTAATACCCTTTTACACCCAGTATGGCACAATGGTATTAGTGATGGAGTCGATAGAAGCCCCTATGCGCCTCAGACCTCGCTACTGGAAATGGCTCTTCACAGTGCTAATTGCAATCTGCAAAGAAGATATATCTCCTTTTGTTTTTCAAGTAAACCAGTGGTTTTCTGTCGCTACCGTGTGTATCAATGCCACTTTGTCTAATAGAGATGTGTTTCCACTTTCACTGGAGTTTGGAAATCATTAATAAAGTTTCCCAAGTAAGGAAAGATAAGTAACCCATTTATCTACATGCCTGATGCTATATTTTGGTCAAAGGGGTATGTGAATCAGCTTAGTTGATTAAAGGCGGTGAGGCATGGTCCTGCTGACCAAGGCCATGTCTGCCTAATTGTCCTTGTGTCACCTACAGGTTCCAACCATCAGTCTACACATGGTGTATCAATGAAGTCTCTCTAATCTCCTTCCTTGAATGGCTTATTGAGAGCAAAAAAGACACTTTGGGACAGCACCAAATGTATGCAAGTCAACTATTGCAGATTGTGCAAAGCCAGTGCTTCTCTATGTGTAGGAATGAAGTAACTTTATTATTGGAAGAGGTTAAAGAAACTCTACAAGAGTCAAAGAAACAATTTACACTAAACAAAGAAGACCTTTCAGCTATCGTGACACAGAATGCTTGGGAGCCTATGGTCCTTGAGGTACATGTGGAGCATACCAAGCTCTACTGTATGAACAGTTCACACTTTCCCATGTAGAACCAAGAAAATGAGAGAGAGAGAGAGAGAGGGGGGGGGAGCATGGTGCGTGCTAGTATAGCGAACGGAATAGTATCAAGAATTAGCAGCACTCGCGTGTACTAATGTACAGGCAGCATCACGAGCGAGCCAGCTAGCATGGCAAGGCATAATGGGTACCCTGGCCTTGAGAACCAGGGATGGTGGGCTAAAAAGTCGTTTCCACCGGTGAACTCTCCCCACACCTTTCTCACAGTGAAACTGCCCACAGTAGCAATGCAATCACAAACACACCTCATTACTCAGCAAAACCAGCAAAAATGTACAACATTGTCAATTCGCTCTTCTCTCTCTTTGTAGTTGTTACTGATGAAAAGGCACAAGTCAACCGTGCTAATGTCACTTAGAGAGGAAAGGTAAGTTGTCCACGTCCTTACTATTTCCATTTATGTCATCATGTGCCCCTTGCAACAGTGTCAAGAAATTAATACACACTCTGAAAACAGTGTCCAGTGACCTATCAACTAGTCTTAGCTACCTTCTTGGGATATTGCAGGTAATGATGAAGTGTGAGGTTAGAAACAATATTCTGTAAGCATGATGTGTCGAGCCAACCTGGCTGAGTGTGTTGTAGCTATTGGTGACTTTCACCTGAAGCCTATGAAATACGATGTAATCCGTCAGTATACTGTTCATATCACACATACCTATAAGTTCTTGTTATGGAAATCCTTACAGGTGTTGAATGTCAGCCAAGAGGAGAAAGGAGAACCACCAGCAGACAGTGAGGAAGAACAGCATGCAGAAAACAAAACGGAAGTCACTGCTCCAGAAAGTCTCTATGCCGCACTTACAGCTGCTCTCACAACTGTAGGTTTTTTTTGTAATTACACAGTATTATGTTGAAATCCAATTGTACAGTGGAGCAGTTTACAAGGCCAAGATGAACGGTTTCCTTCAGGGGGTTGTGATATTGCAAGCCAACTGCTCAGTTTGTCACAAGTTATTCTTACGTCAGGTCCACTTCCAGAGACTTTGACTGTCACTACTGACTTCTTCACCCACACAATATCTACCCTCATGATTTACTCAACTGAAGGTGGGAAAGTTGTGTAACTAGAAGTACACGGATTGTGTAGAGTCCTTAGCAATGTTTCTATCGCATGTTCAATTGAGATTGTGTGTTGACAAAAAATACATAGTTCTTCCATATACAATGGTGACATCTGTGGCATGCATGACAGAGAGTTGAATTATATTGTGAGAATGAATGTTAATTTACAATTTCTTGGGCCTCTGTTTCTAGGCTACTTATCAAATTCACCGCACAAGTTCTTTTGTGAGCTAATTGAGTTTGTGTCATCACTTGTGGAGCAGGGTATCCCACCGCTGACAGTAGTCCAGACATACCTGCCTAACCTCTTTGGTCCTGTGTTTGGTACAAATAATCACTCAGTCTCCTGCAAACTGTTGGAGTATGGCTACCTGGCTGCCTGTTCTCAGCACCAGTGAGTGTAGATCATAAGTGGTCTTTTTGTCAACACATTCTCTTTCTTCGTTACATGTAAGCTCATAAATAACACAATTTCATTCCCTGGTAGCTCATACGTATGGTAGAGCACACTGTCTAGAACACAGACTGTGATGTTAAAAATGAGGAACTAAGTTTTTTACCAGCTTCATCTTTTAAAAACAGGAAATCACTGTTATCTGAAGGCCTGACTTTCCTGGTCAAGGTTTACAACCTCTTCCCACCACTTGACAAAGCAAGGTACCATCTATCACTGTATGGTGACCTGTTTAGCTACATGTGAACTTTTTCAGTCACACGTTGTGAAATTGTTTGTCAGTGGCAACGTTTCTTTGAAGGCTTGACTTTTTGCTACACAATTTGTCAGCTAGAACATGCGCACAGCCGGCGAAGCTCGTACAGACATTCCCTAATCATAGCCTTGTTCCGTCTGGCAAGTAGGCTAGTATAAAGCTCAGCATTGTTGCAAATTTATTGTGTCTCTTACAGAATTGAGCTGGCGGCTAATCTTAGACATTTACAAACTCTGGAGATTGTAAATTCACTGCTGGATGATATCATTACCTCCGTTGTTAATATACCAAATGACGAAAAGGCTTTCGCTCAAAGTTTGAACTCCGGAGAGAAAGACCAACAAACTGGAGGTTATGAAAATTCTGAGGTGTTTCTAGTTGAAGTTACTGATGATGAGAGGGAGTCTGAAAATAAAACTCGCCTCCAGATTCTATTTCGTTTGTTAGACCTGGCCTGTGCTATGGTAAGTAAACAAGAAACTGCTAGAGAGTTGTGATTTTCCGTTTTTTTCTACAGGTGAGAAATGGAGACAATGTTTCTTTTCTGTTTGCCAGTACCTTACCAAAACTCTTCACCGGATCATTTCCTTCCTGTTTGAAGGAGAAATTGCACGTTAACCAGTGAGAAACACTTTTATATAATTGCCGATCGAAGCAAGCCAAAATATTCGTCTGAATGATCTATATATTATGTATAATGTGTATATGTTGTGACCCGCACTGCACCGTAACGTGATTCTAAATACGTGAAAAACACCCACGAAAATTGAACTGTTCGCTTCATTCGCCAAAATACATTGCATTATTCTAGTATATATATATGCTTATTTTTGCTTGCAGGAACCATTACAAAGAACTCCTCACTGGTGTTTCTATTGTTCCTTGGCAGGTTGACAAGAAAGAAGTATGTTATTCTACCATAGTAGTAGTGTTTATCACTGTCCAACTGTCTTTCGATTCAGTTTGCCCTCCATCTATTGGAACTGGCGACTCTTTCGTTGGAGAGTGACAATGCCTCTCCATTCCAGATCTGTGGTGTGGTAGCTCCAAAACTGGTACAGTGCATGATCTGTTTATTACTTCTTACATGTTTTCGTTGGTACAGGTTCAAAATATTGATACCCTGAGGCTCTCTGATAGTGAGAAGATGGCCACTACAGTTGAAATTATGAGTATCACATCGGGTAGGTAAAGGGAATGCTGTGTGCATAATTGAAGTATAAGAGGTAATGGTCAAGTGCATTTTCTGTTTCCGCTGCTGTGGTTCAAATCCCACCTAGGACAGCTCTTCCGTTTTCCTTGGGGAAAAAGAGCTGTCCTGGGTGTAGTTGACTTGTTTGCTTTGCCTTTGCCTTTCTACTTCACCTTGTTGTTGACCATGAAGTGTGTATATGTAGGCTGGACTGTGTATAAATCTGAAAATATGGTGTGCTTTAAATTACGTCACTCCCATTACACACTTGTTTTGGATATGCGAGATTTCAGATACATGCATACTCTACCAGATGCCATTAGAAATGGACAAACCATAACTGAACTGATATCTCATGGAATTGACCTTCTAACGGTTCTTATCCCTGAGTCCACCACTCCAAAAGATGCTAGGTGTGTATGTATTGTGTATGTATGTGAAACTACGACGTAGAAAGGCAAAGCCACAACAAACATTGAGGAGTATGTATGTACACTTGCATAGTTATATAGAAGGCTAGTTTAGCATCAGATCCATATTCCATGCACATATATATATAATATACACATGACTGCAGTTTATGGAAACTTCTATAACAGCTCAAGTATGCATCAAGTATAGGTTTGATGAAAAATTGATATAGTACGTCCATTTCCGAGAGATTGGTCAAAGTAGAGAATTTACTATCAAAGAGTGTCCTGATTTATAACTTGCAAATTTTATAACATAGTTGGAAGAACTTAGTGGCCTAAGTGGCTGACAACACACTTTCCTTTGAAATGGGCAGCTGATACTTACGGAACTCTCTTCCCTTCCCTGAGAGTGTCTGGCCAATGTATGTACTTCGTTATATGTTACCCCAGCAACCCCATTATATGTTGGCCAGTAGTATTACTTAGAGTCAGAGGGCTCCTAATCAACACCCACTTTGCTTTCCTTATAGGGAATTCAGCCATTGTGCTGGAGCAAGTAGGTTTGATGATGGCAAGTATGCTCTAAGAGCGCGCAAGTGACTGGCCAATAAATCATACCCTATAATGGGGTTGCTGGGGTAACATATACCGAAGTACATACATTGGCCAGACACTCTCAAGAGAGTTCCCTAAGTATGTGTAGCAATCAACAGCTGCCCATTTCAAAGGAAAGCCACTTAGGCCACTAAGTTCTTCCAACTATGCCAGTGCACCTAGACAATCTCTCCTAGCATCAGCAAGACTAGCGTGCTTCATGAGGTTGTCTTTGGCCACCCTACAAGCGGAGAGGCGGAAGAATACGCAAACCAACTTTTTAGCAAAAATCTGCAGCTTTAGGCTACCTCGGGATAAACATCAGAGAATCCAATGGTCAGATACCTAGTAGAGATGTGGTGACATTTACGACCCCTGCCCATCACCCAGTTTTCTCTACCTCCAATCATATGCAGGCAATTTGTTGCACAGATGACGAAGCAGTTGGTAGTCTTCAATCATTCGTCACTGCTGTTCATGCTGAAGCAGTCTTGTAATTTCATGCTCAGCAAATTCCCTGACGAGAGACTGCCAATTCAACAGCTTTTTAAGACACTGATACAGAGAGGAAAAAGAGATGTAAGCTATTATTCAAGGCACATTTTACATTTATTGCCTTTCTCATGCAGGAAGTTAGAGCAATGTTTAGACTCTGCCGCAGTGACTTTGAGAGTGACATGTACACAGATGTCAGACACCATCTGTATTCTTTCTCCTCTGGGACTCTCAAACATCGCCAGTTCATTGCTCTCTGTGAGGTGAGATGAGTGGTGAAGTACAGCTGTATAGTTAGCTACTTTGTTTTACTAACGCACCTTGTGAAAAATGTCTATAAACTGTCTTTATTCACTCACTATGCTTTTTCAAGAGTACAGAAAAGTCAGAGAGCTCATTTGTCTTGTACTACTCTCTCAGGACCAGATATTCAAAACTGGCTCCACATATATATGTAGTTTAATGCACAAAAATCTAATCCATGTCAGATTCTTGTGGCAATAATGGATGTGGGGAAACCTTCACCAGTGAACAGAAGAACCCCAGATATGGAGGAGGAGACTGGCAAAGAGAGAAATGAGGAACTGATAGTTCTAGTTGTGAGGAAACTAACTCAGCCTTGTCTGGTGAAGCTAGTGAGATGTCTCTCCACTGACAGGTACATTTTCAAGTTGTAATATGTACATAGAACACACAATTTACTGCTTACACAGATTTAAACAACAAAATTGGGTGACAATAACAGAAGAAATATCTAAGATTGCTCTCTTCAGGTCAGACAAACTCAGATGTACTTTTCCTGTTATAAAATTTGCATGTTTTAATCAGGACACTCTTTGATAGTGAATTCTCTACTTTGACCAATCTCTCGGAAATGGATGTATATCAATTTTTTGAGAGGTATGTATGTAAATAACCAATTGTATGGCTGTGCTGTTGGATACACACAGTGAAACAGTAATTTTTTTCTCTTGTCAGCAAATTTCCACCAGATGTACTTGCTGATGATAGTCTGATGCATTTATTGGCTGTTTGTGGGTCACGAATTGAACACATGCAGGTATACACATTCGTTACCATGTGTGCTCATGGGCGCAAGGGGTTAGTGACCGATCTGTCTGTCTATCGTCCAAACCAATATTGCCAGATCTCGAGAAAGGTGCCTGGATGAGATTGAAAGGTGGCTAAACCATAAGAAACGCCAAAAAACAGTGCCACTGTGCTTTACGATGGCAAGCCATGTGAGCCCAGCTTGTAATCTGAAGGCTAGATTTTTCTATATATTGACCTGCACTGCTGCAATGCACCTACGATACACAATACGCGCAAAAACATGTGCAACAATTGAACAGCTCGCTTCGCTTGCAAAAATTCTTCTGGTATTGTATGTTTACTCGATTCAGCTCGGGGTATGTGCTCTCCAGAAATCTAGTTAGGTTTTTAAAACTTTTATCATAATGTTATGGAGTATGAACTACGTAGTAATGTGTTTCTGTATCATAATATTGCAAAGAGTGTTATGGGGGATTGTCTTTGCCTTTGAATGACCTTGAATTATGGATAGTAGACTATTATGGCCCTATGCACAACAGTGCATTATAATAATAATAGGTCTGCAGAAATAATGTAAATTTTAATAAAACGGTGAATAAAAGATAATGTGATATGTGATGATGAATTTTGTGACATTGCATCCTATGAACATAACATGCATTCCAACAAAAATGCACAAGGCATAGAAAGCAAGTTGTAGCAAAGATTGAGTAGGGTGCTGGGTCAGAATAGGATTACACCCTTTGGTGTTGTGGTGAGCACTAGAATGTGCCGCAATTTACTCTACACCCCAAGAGTGTTTGTATAATTATAAACATCTACTTAAGTGTAATGAACACCCCTGAGGTTCTCCAATACACCCTGCCAGTTTTGGTACAGAAAATGGGGTGTTAGATAACACCAAATTTTAACAGTGCATTTGCACTGTTTTTTCAAATGTGCTTTCATATGCCTACATCAGTATGCACAAGCATTCCTCAATCATGTGGAAGGAAAAGGAGATCTCACCGAGAACTCTGCTTTCAGTTTATGTTCCTCTCCATACAGCATGTCCCTCACATACTCTGGGAATCTCTCAGTTGGTATTGGGTCAATGTCTGCCACTGGGAAAGTGAAGAGAGTGAATGGTGTTTCCTTTTCCTGTGTAAATGTATTGGGCTACCAATATTTACATAATATGGACGTAGGATCTTGAAAGTAATCTTCAGTTTCCTCCTGCATCTGGTTTGGGACTCCATCCTCCTCACATGTTTCATCATCCACCACCGCATTCACGAGAGGACCCTCCATTTCAATTCCTTCATTCTTTCCCTCTTCTCCCTCCCCACTACTGCCCTCCCCTACACTGCCTGTTGGATAGCTCTTTCTTGCTATAGACAAGTTGCCCTCTTTGAACGAGTACTTCCTCCTAACATTACGCTGGTGTCTGAGGAAAAAATAATATTAAAACGTTTATTATTGTAACTTCCTACTGTACATTACCTTAGAAAAATGAACATTATTACAATTACTGCTGTAAGAACAGCAATGAAGACTGAAATACCAGCAGCAACTGGTACAGCAAGGGAGGACCCAGACCGACCATCTAGCTCTGTGTGATCTTCTGAAACAGAAAGTATGCCAAACAGGGTTATCCTTGAGAAACTACATTCACATGCATACATTTCATAAACTGAGTGACTGATGGGTTTACCAGCCAATAGTCTTAAACAAACCAATTACATACCTGATTTCATGTTCATGGTAGGTAGTGCAGTTTTGGCACTGCTCTTTCTGGTGTTAGTGGCCAGGACTACTGAAGCTGTGACAAACACTGCGATCAGATTAGAGCTATGACAATAATGGATCAAGAACACATTAATCCACTGGCATAATGAAAGCTGCATATATTACCAACATCTAGTATGTGGTTGTGTGGCTTATTTCATAGTATGGTTTGTGCACAAGATTCTGTTCTACCTGGGCTACTACAACAATACCTGAAGTAATCTCCATTGTTGTGATTGTTATGACGTCCTCAAAACTGCTCCTAGTACTGATATTGAGAAAGATGGAGGCAGAAGAGGAGACAGGACTAGCAGGTCCCAGGAGAGGAGTGAGGGTAACACGACACTCGTATGTGGCCATGTCAGAGAAGTGGACAGGACTGAATGTGAGGCTACTGTGTACACCACCCACATCACCAGTGGCTCCAGATATGGTGAGTCTTGAGTCAGGTCTCACTGGGACTCCCTCTTGAAACCAAGTCACTTCCACTGCTACATCTCTTCCCCTCACCACTCCAATCAGACCAATATCACAATATACTACCACATCTTCTCCTACCAGGATAGTGTCTTCACTCTTTCTGAGCATCACAGATGGAGGTGCAACTGTAGGTATAGGCATAAGTAAAAGTAGTTGAGTAGTGAAGAGAACTTACTAATGGGTATTAATATTTCTGTGTCACTTGTTGTAACAGTTGTCCCTTCATCCACAGTGTAGCTGGCAGTACAGGTGTAGTTTCCTCCATGAGCCAGTGATAGTGAGTCTAGAGAGAGTTGTCTGGTGAGCTTTCTATTGTCAGTTGTGTCAACAGTTTGTTCCTCAGTGGATGGACCGTGCCACTGGATAGAGACAGAGCTGTCTCTAGCTCTGTGGGAGAGAGCCACTGTGCAGGTGAGAGTGTAGACTGAACCTACTTCCCCTGATCCTGTACCAACCAGCTCCACTGACATCTCACCAACAGCTATATTATAACCACACTAAATATGTTGTTGGTAGCATCTTCATGATGACTCACTGATGTTAACGTTGATGGTAGCCTGTACTAGCCTTGATGATACCCCATTGGCAGTGTAACTGGCAGTGCAGGTATATGATCCAGTGCTGTTTGAGAGTATAGGGTTCAGCGTTATATTGCTGATGTAGACTCCAGGAGTGGTCATGACAGGCTGTGGTTGTGGTGTTAGTCCCAGCCACTGGATATCAAGAGAGTCTGGCTCCACTCCACTGGGTAGACTGACTCTACATGTCAGTGTGTATGAGGTCCCCACCACTCCCGACCCTTCTCCTGACACCACCACTTCTGGATGCTCTGCTGATACTGTGGTGAAGTTTAAAAGTAAGAAAAATGTCCACTTATTCTGAGCATCGCAGATAGAGGTGCATATTTACCAGGAGCAACAGGTCCAACCACACGACTGGGAAGGTCTAACAGAGCCACTAGAGAGATAGTGCGGATCCCTCCAACTGGAAGACCAGTCAGTAGATGACTATTGTCTCTGGATCTCCCACTGACAGTGAAGGATACACTGTGACTCTCTCCTCCAGACTCATAGTAGATCACATAGCCATAGTCATAGAGGGGTACCCTGGCAAATGTCCACTCTAGTGAGATACTGGTGGTATTGGTGTAGGTAGCATTGACCCTTGTAGGTTCCATGGCAGCTAATAAAAAGTAATAGTTTAGATTACAGCCAGATTTGATAGCATACCTCGAATGATTCTCATTGCTGATGCACGCATGTCACTTTGGACATACTCATGCCTTTTACTGCTCACAGTACAGTTATATGTTACTGTTGTCTCTCTTCCCCTGACTCTCAGAGTGTTATTATAGACAGTGTCACTTGATGTGTCCACTATGATCTGAGTGGTGGTGTGGTTACTGTCTTCCTCTACTGTCACTGTGTTTCCTTCTGCAGTCCTCCACCACACCACCTCTGTGACTGGTCCTCCCTCACTCTGACATGTGAGAGTGAACTCAGGAGGATCCTCATTTGCCTCTGAGTCCAGAGTGAAGTACATGACTGCTGATGTCAATTCACCTGTTTTACTTTCAGGAAATGAGAAAGTCACTTATGGAGAATAGCTACCTGCAGTTGGTGTCCCAAAGTAGACATAGATACTCTGCTGTACACCATTACTATCAGGTATATCACATCTCCACATTCCTGAACGTCCTCCTCTTCTGCGATTGAGATAGACCACTCCATCTCCTCTAGTGACATACAGGTCACCCTCTCCATCTGGTCCCTGCTGGACTTGTCTCCCCATCTCATCATACCAGTCACCTTGTCCATTGCTGCAACACTCTGAGTTGTTAGTCACACAATGCAGTGAGTCACTGTGGCCTTCTCCAATGTTTACTGGACGTCCATGTAGTATGAAAGAGTTGTTTACCAGAACATTTCCTTTTCCTTTGAGCTCCAATCTAGGGTAGGACTGAGAGCTAACTCCTGCTACTACAGCAAATAGCAGCAGTTTCAAAGGAAAACAGATCATCATAACTACTGTGTTCATCTGCTACTGCTACTGCTACTGCTAATGCAGTGAAATGCAGTGGTCTATAAACCAAATGAACAGGAAGTACCAGAGTGGCATACTGTCCTATTTGTTTTACATGTACATAAGTACAAACTTTACATACATAGTGTAGGAAGAGGTTTATGTTGGGAGGCTGTCAAAACATTGCTGATGCTCCATTTCCTCCAGGGACCTCACTAATAAGTAGCTGGACTCCCATGGTATTGGCCTGCACCTAGAGGGGACTGAACGACTTCATTTTTATGGACATGGGCCAGTCACTGACCCCCCTCTCAATTCATCTGCCCCTCATCTTATTTTGCATCTTCTCTCTATATTATGATTACTCCACAACAATTCGCGCAATGTGGACATTATGCACCACACACAGACGAGTTCTTGTTTGATTACCAGAGCATCTCCTATGAACTGAAATCGAGGGAGTAAGACCGAGCGCTGACAGAGCAACAAACAGCAGTAGTATTCGCAGCCTATAAGCGTATTTGAGGGAGCTCCACCAATAATTAGCGATGCACAGAGATCTGCTGCACGCACGCCGCCACTGCACACTGCCCCCACACTCACTCGGCCTGACCCGGGGCCGATGCTACGCGGTGTCTCTGTCGGTGCTGTTGCAGCGTGCAACAGGCAACGATGCCGTTAAAGGCTGTGCTGCTCCACATCGGAGAGAAAGGTGGTGCTTATTATTCCGCAAAAAAAACGATCTGGCTTAGCTACCTTTGCCCTACAGACCAAGCAAATACTAGAATAATTCAGCAAATGAGGAGTATTGGATCTCCAACCTCGCTAGAAGATGGTAAGACATATTACCGGAAAGACTATATCAATAGTTGTATTGTTCATGTTCACTTGGCCTTTAGCTACAGAAATTTATCATATAGATCATCTACCCATCCCAGGGACCGATCAACTAGTGCACATCTTGGATGCAGTGAGTGCAAGTTTAGGTCTGCACTACTTAATACTCTTGCTACTGGCAATCAGCCAAAGCACCACCTACGTACAATAGTTTATACATTATTGCCGAGAGCCTGCATTACACCTGTTCTCTGTCTTCGTATGTATGTATTATACAGACAATGAACATTGGTAAAGCTGGGAATCCAGTTATTTCAGCCAAGTTGCATGGCTATGGGTCTGGTGCCATTCTGATGTATGACACTACCAGGTAAACACCTCTCAGTAACACAGGCACTCCAGACCATGTCACCTCTGTGTTCTTATCTCAGGAGAGAGTCGTTTGTGAAATGTCCTGGCTGGATTGATGCCTTTAAAAACCATGCCTCCAAAGAAGCGGTTCTTCTTCTCTTGGCAGACAGGAGGTAACTAGCTGTTTTATACCGAGCTGTTCAGTTTCACGCTGTAAGAGATCAAACCCGAATACCTGTCACCAACTTACCACCAAGCTACGAGGGTGTCCTGTGGCATAAGAGCATGAGATATCTGTTATTCAGTCTCATTTCGGTATATTTCCCCCATGGGCTGGAACGTTAGACTGGGACCAAATTATTTTTGTCCTTGGCTGCTGAAGATATAAGCCATCTTCCTACTAAGAAAGAAGGCTGTTTTTTAAGCTAGCACATCACCCCCCCATTGCCTCCATACACAAATCTTGCTCACGGAAGTGTGCATAGCTTTACAAAGTAATCCCATGTGTTTATGTGCCTAGATCACGGAATAACTATGAACTGTTTGCTTTTCCCCACCTCCTGTGCAGTCATGAGAGCTCTAAATGAAAGAGGGCAGTTTCAGGTGAAGAGGTAAGTATAGATACTCTTTGAGTGTCTGATAACAATCAAGGCTGCTGGTTGCCCTAGGGGAAAACCTTTGCAGAGAACTTTGGGGTATATACTCTACCATGAAGTGGACTCTCCAAAACCAGAATCAGCTCAGCGTGTATGTGCACCTATGTTTACATAGGGTTGGCTTTTTGAGATTATTGTGTGTGTGTGTGTTTGTGATTGGGGAAAGAAGAGAGAGAGGTAAAGTGTAAAGCTAACAAGAGAGGGTGGGCGGCTTTTGTCGGCGTCACCGCATGCAGCCAGCCAGGTGCTTAAATGTACATGTAAACCTATCCACAAGTCCAGCAACATGCAGGTGCAGTGCTGGGCTCTTTGTTACTGGTCATCAGGGGAGTTCCCAATCTTTCACCATGTCACACGCGTTTTGGCCTCTTTAAACTCCTGACACGTGAGACACTCCAGAAAGGGCGAGGCCACTCCACCTGGTTGGAGTCCAGATTTGCCTATTACATGGCTACAATTATCACTAAGTACGGTAGTACTTAGTGTAGTACTTAGTACATAGGGAGGACACAGGTTGTCCTGCATTATGCCCATACATTTTAGATTTTCATGTTTGACTTCAGTTTCAATCAGGTCCAACTTTTGACACATCAGACTGATCCGTATCGTCACAAAGAGCATGTATCAAAGAAATGGCTTAAATTGCATAATCAGTACTTGATTTATTCAAAAAAGTTTTCAGTTTTCAAAATTCTTCTTGTTGTTGTTGTTCAGTTTAGACAAGTGTATCTCAAAAACCACATAAGATATGGATATGAAACTTTGTACAGATATTGGAATCCATGACAGGTCGTGCAAGAGCATTTTTATTTCTTCGTAAACAATTTTGTTTACATGTAAACAACAACAAATAACCCCAGGCAATACATTATGATAGAGACAAATAAAGTGTTCTAACTCGGTTTAGTGCATAGCTGGTTTCAATCGAGCAATCTGATTGGTCCACACGAGGTACTTGATTTCCCGTAGTATACCTGGGACGCTCCATAGTAAACCCTGTTTTTCATGTAAAAGTTTTACATGAAAATGACAAGATCACATACATAATCTACAGGAACATGTAGCTTTATCGTCTACAATAATTCTTTTTTAGTTTCAACAGTATGCACAGAGAGACAAGAAGTCTGGGCCTAGCTGTACGTAAGCGCCTGTACGCTAGCGTTAGCGGTACGTCACGCCCGCGGATACGTGCGCGTAGAGTGGGCGGCGCCCCTTTTCCGCGAAGCGCGGCGGACGGCGAGCGGGTGCTGATATAGCTTCTGCCTACCGTTTCTGGCTCGCCGCTGGTGGCTGAAACCTCGCTCGAGTCGGTTACCAATCGCGTCTTCACTCTCATTCGAATTTCAGTCGCCTGGAAACGGGCGCTGTGCGTGTGCGGATTCGTCTGCTCTGCACTAAACATGTTAGTTACTCCGTATACTCGGGAACTACGGGATTTCAATGAACCCGAGGGCCTCCGCGTTGTAGTGTCCCGAGCGTAGGGCTTGTGTGGAGTAAAATTTACATGAGCAAGAAATGTCAGTTTGAAGATGTAACCATCATCCATTGTACTATTGCATCACATGCACTATATAGGTCATCCCTGTCTTGTCTCCTTGCCTTTTATGGCATCCCTATATTCCTAATTCGAAGAATTTTTTATTTACTTGTTGTACTTACAAACTAACCTACATTACATAAAGGCAATTTTAGTATAGCAGCTACATATTCTTAGTAATAACTTGCTTCATTTCTTTGGTCTTCTCTATTCTTCACTTCTTTCTTCATTCTTGCTCCTAACTGAGCTACTACAGGCAAGCTTGGCTGTTTTATACCTTGTTGTGGATGTTATATCTACTAAAGTCAAAACTTCCCATGCTGTTAATTAGTGCGTGTGTGTGTGTGTGTGTAAGCAAAGAGCACATGCATGTATACAAACTATGTATAAACATGTTCCGCTCTGCTGCAGGGACAGGGTATAAAGCCAGTGGCCAGTCCTGTTATCAGGAGACACTCCACCAGCTGTGCCAGCCCCACAGACTCACATGTCAACTCTTTCCCTGGAAAAGACAAGAGACGTGGAACATTTGGCGTGTCTACTATAGTATAGACTGAACATGTGTTTTTTAGCGTAGGTATGTACTGAAGTAGTATAGAGTTTTGTGTTAATGGTGTGGCGCCAAATGTCTGCCTCTCTATATACTATGTGGCTCTGTATGGCATGATTTTTGTTCCTTAGGTTAATACTGTCCTATTTTGTTTACATGTACATACATACATAGTGTAGGAGGAGCTTTATGTTGGGAGGCTGTCAAAACATTGTTTATGCTCCATTTCCTCCTGGGACCCCACAAATAAGTAGGTGGACTCCCATCCATATTATTATTGGCATGCACCTAGAGGGGACTGAACATGCCTATGTTGATCCTACTGCTTTGGTTGGGAGCATCTCCCCTATGCTCTGACAGCTCTTGTCCTCACTTTTGTCTTGATTCTGATTACTCATTTTTATGGACATAATATTTATGGACCAGTCACTGACCCCCCTCTCAATTCATCTGCCCCTCATCTGATTTTGCATCTTCTCTCTATAATTATGATTACCCCACAACAATTCGCGCAATGTGGACATTATGCACCACACACAGACTGAAAGAAAGAGAGTTCTTGTTTGATTACCAGAACATGTCCTATGAACGGAAAAATCGAGAGTAAGACTGAGCGCTGTCGGAGCAATAAACAGCTGTATATAGTATTCGTAGTCAATACGCGTTGTATTGGGGGGGAGCGCTACAAAAAATTAGCGCATGCGCAGAGATCTGCTGCACGACTGCACTGCCCCGGCCCCCGCCCCCGGCCCCCACACTCACTTGGCCTGACTCGGAGCCGATGCTACGCGGTGTCTCTGTCAGTGCTGTTACCGCGCGCAACAAGCAACGATGCCGTTAAGGGCTGTGCTGCTCCACATCGGAGAGAAAGGTGATGCTTCTTATTCCGCAAAAATCACTCTGGTACCTGAATTTCCGCCCTACAGACCAAGCAAACACTAGAGTAATTCAGCAAATGAGGAGTATTGGATCTCCAACCTCGCTAGAAGATGGTAAGACCAACTACCGTGAAAGACTATATCAATAGTTGTATTGTTCATGTATTGTTGGCTCGGCCTTACAGAAGCTGATCATATACCCATCCCTGGGACTGATTTATTTGTGCGCATCTTGGATGCAGTGAGTGCAAGTTGTCCGTCACTATAAATACAGCTCTTGCACTACCTCGCTACTGGCAATCATATAGCTCTTGCACTATTAACAATACTCTAGATACTGGCAATCAGCCAAAGCACCACCTGCAATAGTTTATACATTATTGCGAGAGCCTGCATTATACATGTTCTCTGTCTTCGTATGTATGTATTATACAGACAATGAACATTGGTAAAGCTGGGAATCCAGTTATTTCAGCCAAGTTGCATGGCTATGGGTCTGGTGCCATTCTGATGTATGACACTACCAGGTAAACACCTCTCAGTAACACAGGCACTCCAGACCATGTCACCTCTGTGTTCTTATCTCAGGAGAGAGTCGTTTGTGAAATGTCCTGGCTGGATCGATGCCTTTAAAAACCATGCCTCCAAAGAAGCGGTTCTTCTTCTCTTGGCAGACAGGAGGTAACCAGCTATTATTAAACCATGCAATAAGAGAGCAAACCCGAATACCAGTCACCCACTTACCACCAAGCTACGAGGGTGTCCTGTGGCATAACAGCATGAGATATCCGTTATTCAATCTACTTATTTCCCCCTACGAATTTGTGGTTCGGAACGTTAGACTGGACCAAAGTCCTCTTTATTTGCCCTTGGCCACTGAAGATATGGTAATCCATCTTCCTACTAAGAAAGAAGGCTGTTTTTAAGTACTGAGCTAGCCCACCACCCCCCCTTGCCGCTATACACAAATCTTGCTCACACAAATCTTGCTCAGGAAGTGTGCATAGCTTTACAAAGTAATCCATGTGTTTACATACCTAGATAATGCAACAACTATGAACTGTTTTCTTTTCCCTACCTCCTGTGCAGTCATGAGAGCTCTACAAGAAGGGTAGTTTCAGGTGAAGAGGTAAGTAGATAATCTCTTTGAGTGTCTGATAACAATCAAGGCTGCTGGTTGCCCTAGGGCAAAACCTTTGCAGAGAACTTTGGGGTACTCTACCATGAAGTGGACTCTGGAAAACCGGAATCTGCTCAACATGTATGTGCACCTGTCTTTTTCGGCTTTTGAGATTATTGTGTGTATGTGTGTATGTTCAGGCTCTCTATTACATTGCAACATGCATCTATGGCAAAGCCGAGGAAGGTGTACTTGGAACAGGACCAGTAAGCAAAGAGCACATGCATGTATACAAACTATGTATAAACATGTTCCGCTCTGCTGCAGGGACAGGGTATAAAGCCAGTGGCCAGTCCTGTTATCAGGAGACACTCCACCAGCTGTGCCAGCCCCACAGACTCACATGTCAAATCTTTCCCTGGAAAAGACAAGAGACGTGGAACATTTGGTGTGTCTACTATGTGTATATAGTATAGACTGAGCATGTGTTTTTAGTGTAGGTATGTACTGAAGTAATGCAGTAGAGTTTTGTGTAAATGGTGTGGCGCCACATGTCTGCCTCTCTATAATACTAGGTGGCTCTGTATGGCGTGATCTTTGGTCCTTAGGTTACCAGTTACTGGTAGTTCCCACTGACTCAATGGCGATTCTTAGTCTAAAAGAAATTTCCTTTGATTCTTTTGTTGTTTTTGGAGTGCCAGTGAACTACTACACCTCATAGCAAGTAAAACAAAGCTTTTGGGGAATATATACACTTAGAACAGATTATCCATGTTACTATTTCCCTCTAGGAGAGAGTATTCCAGAAGTAGCATTTCTGGAGAGGGAGAGTCAGCTGTCTGCTGCCAGGAGAGAGGTGGAGAGAATGAAGGCCAGAGAGACTGCACTACGACGGCAAGAGCAGCTACTGCACAGAGAGAACTCTGAACTCACTCAACACCTGGCCTCTGCCAAGAGAGAGATAGATACTCTCAACAGCGAGAAGACTGCCCTGCAAAGAGAGCAGCACTCACTCAAACAACAGCTGACGCAGAGAGAGAGCGAAGTGTGGAGGTTGAACGGCGAGATATCTAGCCTCCAGCAAAGACTCAATCAGTTAGGTAGTCAGTTGGAGCAGGAAAAGTTGGGGTTGAGTCGGGCACTTCAGACCCAAACCCAAAGAGAGTGCCGATGTCCAGTGGCGACTGCAACAGCAGCTCACCCTCAAGGAGGAGGCACTGGGGAACGAAGTTCGAGACCACTCTGAGACACGTGCTGCTCTCCGACATGCACAGCTGGCTCTGGACGAGGCGAGGGAGGAGAACCGTCGTCTGCGGGAGTCCCAGAGACCAGCAGATGTTGACGACCACTGGAGAGTGTCACGGGACGAGGTGGTCGTTCTGAATGAGGGGATGCTGGGGTCTGGGGCCTGGGGCTACGTGGCCAAGGGAGAGTTTCGAGGGAAGAGAGTGGCAGTCAAGTGCCTACACAGGGAGATTGTGGCCAGCCAGACTCTGCAGCGAGTCCACAGAGAGATCCACACCATGGCCAGCATCAGACACCCCAACATAGTCCTCTTTGTTGCCGCAGTACTGGACAGTGAAGGCCAACCACTCATTGTCTCTGAACTTCTCGACACCAACCTCAGATCAGCCTACCAGAGACACCAGCTGAAAGGCACAGGAACAAAGGTGGAGATTCTGCACGGAGTTGCCTGTGCACTCAACTACCTGCACAAGCTACGCGAGCCCATCATCCATCGAGACGTAAGCTCGCCCAACGTCCTCCTCAGAGCTACCCGAAATGACAAATGGACTCCGAAACTCTCAGATTTCGGATCTGCAAATCTGGCCCGGTGTTCCCAGACACTTGGCGAGGGAGCAATCATCTACTCAGCCCCTGAGACCTTCCCTACCAGCCTCCAATCTCCCAACAGCCTCCCTCAGACCACAAAGATCGACTTGTACAGCTTTGGAGTCCTGACGGGGGAGCTTCTGACAGAGCAGCTACCTAATCCCTCCACCCTACACTTCACAGTGGAGACTGTCGGAGCCGAGTGGCCTGATCTCCATACCCTCGTGGTCAGCTGCATCAAACACAGTCCTCTCCTCAGACCTGATATGGAAACTGTCATCTCTACTTACCTGCAACCTCGGCTAACATCATCTGTCTTTACCTACCATGCATAGAACTGCTGTATAGCTACTGCCACATGCTAAACCCGACTTACATGCAATGCATCATACCACACAACAGCCTGAGTATTTTTATCTGTTTATATAGTTCCTTTTCCCTATGAATGATGTTGTCTTTTTTCACCACAACCATCTGCGAGCTAGTGCGGCTTTCATATAGATGTGTGTGTTTGAGTGTCTCTGTCATGCCTTTGTCCTGTGAAACAACACAACTACACCCTGGGCCAACGCTTTGGAAAAGCGAGCTGCTCTTGTGGTATTTGAACTAGGCTACAGTAGCTAGTCTAAGAGTGATCCATTATACCCACTGGCTACTAGGGCAGCTCAGTAAACAGGGGCTCCCAAAAGCACCTTTGCTTTGCCTTACAACCTCCTCACTGTTCAAATGCAGCATGGTGTGTATAATTTACTATTGGACCACTTCCTCCGTCAAAATCCTTTGTGGCCATATCTCTTTGTATAATAACATTTATGACAGTCCCCAGGGGTTGTGAACAAACATGTGTTTTTGTGTCACATTGATCAAGGCGGTGGTAGGCACCACACACTACCATGTGAAATGATGGAATTGTAGCTGCAGTAAACCATGAATGTGAACTCAGGAGCTGTGGCGATATTTGTTAAACTAGGGAAGATGTTTCAGGAGGCATACAGGAGTAAAGTCGACAAGAGGGTGTCTGAGCTGCTACTGCTACTCCACTGAAGTGGAATGGTCTAGTAAACAAAATGAACAGGAAATACCAGAGTGGCATAATGTTCAAGTTACGATGTTGCTTTATCATCGTGTATATAATTATAGCATGTTAAGTACAAGCTCTATGTAGTGTATATAGGAAGAGCATTTACTGCTGGGAAGCTGTCAAAGCCTATGCTCCATTTACTCCTGGGACCCAAGTAGGGAACTCCATCATCCTAACTGATGACATTGGCATACGTGGTATGTGAAGGTTATGGCTTTACATCTGGCCCTGATCATCGGTGTCTGTATGTTGTCTATATGAAGACCCCACAAACCCTTTAAATTTGCAATGTGTGCATGATAATCATGTAACACACACTAGCAGACTAATTCTTGTCGCCTGGAGACCCACGAACTATGAAAGAACAACTGAAATGGAGGGTAGGACTGAGCGCTGACCCCTGTGTCAAAAAAAAGCAGCAATAGGATTCTCAATTTGTGTACAGAAAATGCAAGCTCCGTCTTTACCCTCGATAAAAATTGGCACATGCGCAGATCTGATGCACGCTTGCCATGCGCCACTGCCCCCACACATTAAACACGCCCGCCTCTGGCCGAGGCGGCAGTGCACTGGCGTCTGATACGGTACTTACAGCGAAAAACTAGCAACGATGCCGTTAAAGGCTACGCTGCTCCACATCGGAGAGAAAGGTGAGGCTTCTTATTCCGCAAAAAATCGCTCGGGCTTACACTTTTCTGAATTTGCCTACAGACCAAGCAAATACTAGAATAATTCAGCAAATGAGGAATATTGGATTTCCAACCTTGCTAGGAGATGGTAAGACCAACTACCGGTATTGTACATGTTCACTTGGCCTTCAGCTACAGCAACTGATCATATACCCATCCCAGGGACTGATCTACTTGTGCGCATCTTGGATGCAGTGAGTGCAAGTTGTCCATAACTAAATATAGGTCTTGCACTACTTAATACTCTTGCTACTGGCAATCAGCCAAAGCACCAACTACGTACAATAGTTAACCCTCGGCGCGCATGCGCAGCGAGGGTTAGGTTTGTCTGTCTGTCTGTCTGTCTGTCTGTGTGTCGACGCTTATCAGTTCTGGCACTACAGGCTACGGGGTGGCGAATGAGCGATACCAACTGCTTCATAACTACCCGAACCATGAAAAAATATTAGGCGATTTCCCTGAAACGACTGCGTTCGAGAGATATGCCGTGAAAAAAAGCGATAAAGCCAATATGCATATTAGCACTGGGCTTACCGCGACCTGTGTAAGCTCAGGAAGTCACAACGAATGGCGTGTATCGACTCCCGCATGCTATCTACTACTGTAGCTAGCCAGTGTCAGACTCTCCGCGAGTTATATACTAGCGGGAGACCACGAAGTAAACGCATGAATAGCCCAGCCCATCAATTAGCAGTATCGCGCGCATGCGCAGTTCGCCGAGGGCTTGCACGTACTGCGCATGCGCGCGATACTGCTAATTGATGGGCTGGGCTATTCATGCGTTTACTTCGTGGTCTCCCGCTAGTATATAACTCGCGGAGAGTCTGACACTGGCTAGCTACGTACAGCGTTTTGCGCGAAACTTGCAAATAAAAGATTTGCGCATGCGCACAATTTATTTGCAGAGCCATATGGCTTCATACGAGAGCGTACGTCCGTCTAAAATTCTCAGAAATAGTTGGTGTAGATGCCTGGAGAGCTGTCAAGCTTTTTAGACAAACTGGTGTTGTGCAGAAGAAAGCATATCCCTGCAGACCCTCTTACAAAATCACCCCTGCTGTGCAATTTTCAGTTGCACACACAGTCTTGAGGAGGCCAGGAGTCTACCTTGCAGAACACCAACAAGAAATGCCCCTGATATCGTACCTGGACCGCAGGCGTAGTGCCTGTTAAATAAGTATTAGGCTTTGGTAAGACCTGTACACCAACTCTTGCTCCACCGACGTTGAAAATTTTCGTCATCTCCAAGACGCAAACCGCTGTACGTAGTATGTATATACTTCAGTGCTTTTCATTCCATTTGAAGCGCACCACCAGTCGTTCCTGTGCGCGCATGCGCTGCAGTTGAAGACCACCCACACGTACTCGAGTACGTGTGGGTGGTCTTCATCTGCAGCGCATCTACAGTGCAGTCTAGGCGAGCGCCTGAGCTACCTGAGCAACTCAGCTGGTAGAGTTTCCATCTCTGAGGAATGCATGACTAGGAGCCACCAGACCAATGATAACCACAACAGTTTATCTCCCATTCTTTCCCTTGTGCCAAGACAGCAGACACAGGCTGACTCTTATCAGAGCGACAGTGGACGCTTGCTCGACTGATTGACTTACTAGTGCAAATGTTGAACATTGTTGGCGAGCGGGAGCGACCCAACTTGGGATTTGCCCGTGATGTTCGGGTTGCATAACGTGCCGTCAGCGCACAGCTTTCCTTTCGTGAAGCAAGACAGAGCTACCTGTCGGCGTTATATAACGTATTGTACATTGGCAGAACGGTGAGCAGGTGAGCAGAACGGTACTTACCTTACGCTTTCAACTCGTCAGTCGTGGTTCACCAGGCAGCTGGCATGCAGCAGTACGTGCACGAGCAATCCTAGCGTATTTGCAAGTTTCAGCTTGGAACCATGAAGATTGGGAAGAGGTACAGCCTCGGTCAGTCACCGAAGGTTGCAGCGCATGCCGTCGAATGGAGGAGAGTTCTCTAGCTGGCTATATAGATCGATCGGCGCATATCGCGAGGCAGGCACCGTGTGTGAAAAACGTGTAAAAATTTGGAAATAGTTTCGGATAAAAAGAAGCGCGTACAAAGACGCGCATGCGCACTTACACGACGTACGACGACGGTCGTAGATATTATTGGCGAGCGGGAGCGAGCCAACCTAGTCGTCGCAACGGGCCGATTTCTCTATTTATTTATTTATTTATATACGACCGACAGTGGTACGTCGTGTAAGTGCGCATGCGCGACTTCATTTCACAACTAACTGTGGCAACCATGGATCGTCAGTCTACAGAGGATGCCCTTCGTCGTCGAAGAGAGAGGGAAAGACAACGTCGTGCCCGTGAGACTCCTGAGCAGAGAGAGGCTCGGCTTTCTCAACGCCGACTGCGTGAGACTCCTGAGCAGAGAGAGGCTCGGCTTTCTCAACGCCGACTGCGTGATAGGGAACGGCCAAGGGAACGCCTCGCCGCCGAAACAGCGGAAGGAAGGGAAGCACGACTAGCGAGACGTCGTGTAATTGCTGTAATTGTCGAATTGCTGCCGAGTTCAGCGGGGAGAGAGAGGCCCGCCTGCAACAGGTACTTACGCAGGAATCAAGAACAGAGAATTGCTGCTGAGGCCAGCGGGGAGAGAGAGGCCCGCCTACAGCTGGTACGACTTAACAAACAACAACGGATTGCCTCAGAGACTCCACAAGAGACTGAAGTTAAGACGTCAGCGTGACCGTCAAAGTCACATGCAGCAGGCAAGTATACTGCCACTTCAACCTCAACTTCACCAGCCAATTGGTCCAATCAAACTTTGAAGTACTTTCAACACCTGTATACACATTTCTTGGTTGGATCGCTCCCGCTCGCCAACAATGGTTACCATTAAACTAGTATATTATATAGAAAAATCGCGCCGTTCGTACCACTAGGTTGGCTCGCTCCCGCTAGCCAATTAACGCGCATGCGGTAGCAAGTTACTGAATAATTGAACAGAGGAAGCGCATTGGTGATGAGAATGGAATGGAGTGGAGCCTTGTGTTGTATATTTGGTGGAGCGTTTGTGTTGTGTGCAGTGAATGCTGGATGGTAAGGAGAAAACAGACAGTAGGTGGTAGCAACAGACAGTGGTGGTTGGTGGTATTATGTTCACGTCTTCTCTAACATGTCTCTGATGTTGTCCGCCAACTGCTGGTCCCTCGCTTCCTCTGCGGCCGAGATGAGGGCTCGGTACGTGGCCCCTCTCCCCCTCTCCTCCTTCCACACCTCCAGACACTCCCTCTTCTGTTTCCCGTAGTCTCTCGGGTAAGAGTTGGTGATCTCCTTCTTCTGAACTCTGCTGAGTCCCAGGAATGGCTGGAGGTTCTCCCAATCAGTGAGGCGGTCCCTGGCAATTACTGCAAGGTCCCGATCACTGACCACATCGTCTTCTTTCTTCTTCTCATGAATTGCTGTAAAATATGAAATAGGAGATGTTCAAAATCTACTAGGTCAAGAGGACTCACCAGGAGTGTTGGTAGAGGAGACAGGAGGAGAGGACAGGGAGAGAGAGGGAACAGAGGCAGTAGCGGAGGAGACTGTGGAACACTCTGACACTGTAGAGGAACATGAATGAAAGGATGAGTATCAAAATAGGGCACATAGAGATGCAAGGACTCACCAGGAGTGTTGGTAGTAGTGGTGGCAGTGGTAGAGGAGGCAGGAGCTGTGGAGACAGAGAGGGGAGGCTGGGAGGTGGGGGAAACTGCATAAGATGAAGGGAAAGGAGAGGGTGTGGCTGACTGAGCAGCTGTAGGCACAATGATAAGTTCCAATTAGAGCCCTCAGTGGGTGGACTACACACATCATTGTATTATGGTGGTAGGGAAGACTGTTTCTAAAAGAGGCTCACCAGGAGTGGTGCCAGCAGCGGAGGAGACAGGAATAGCAGCTGTGGCAGTAGTGGAGGAGGTGGAGGAACACTCGATGACTGAGTATAGAGAGAGACAGTAGAAGGAAAAACAAACGGTCATTAATGCTCTCGAAGAGGGGACTCACCAGGACTGGAGGAGACAGGATGAGGAACTGTGGAGACACTGGCAGTAGTGGAGGAGGTAGAGACAGATTGGCTGACTGTAGAGAGTAAAGTGTATGCGATAGCGGTTTGCATGTCCATGAGGACTCACTAGGAGTGTTGGTAGTGGTAGAGGAGGCAGGAGGAGAGGACAGGGAGAGAGAGGGAACAGAGGCAGTAGTGGAGGACACTGTGGAACACGCTGACACTGTAGAGGAACATAAATGAATATAAAAATAGGGCACATAGAGATGCAAGGACTCACCAGGAGTGTTGGTAGTAGTGGTGGCAGTGGCAGAGGAGGTAGGAGCTGTGGAGACAGAGAGGGGAGGCTGGGAGGTGGGGGGAACTGCAGAAGATGAAGAGGAGAGAGCGGACGTGGCTGACTCAGCAGCTGTAGGGGAAAAGCATAATGAGACTGTTCCAATTAGAGCCCACAGTGGGTGGACCTCCACACTCACAGGTAGATGTGCAGAGGGTCAGCCATGGAATAGAGTCCTCGTCAATGTCTCCAAACTTTTCAGAGTCAATTGAGCACGTCCACACTCCCTTCTTAACGGAGGCGGGGTGGGGTTTGGCTGGGTGGGGGTGGGCGGGGCATACGATGGCTGGGACTGGAGTGTTGTTTGTGTAGCCGATGGTCTTCCCGGCTTTCTTGAGACCTGCAAAAACTGCGTCGTGTGCCAGTTTCCACAGCTCGGCCTCGTGTTCCTTTGCGGTGCGTATGTGGAGTTCAAAGTGGGTGAAGTGATCGATGAATGACACGGTGCCTGCGTAGTCCGAAACGGTGAACTTGATGACGTTGCGATGGAGGCATTTCGGAGCTCCTTCCTTCTTCTGAGCCACTTTCCAGGAGCAGGGGTGACTGTTTTCGTTGGACAGGAGGAAAGCTATAGTGGAGCAGAACGTTCCCATTAGGGGACCGCTGTCGGGGAAGTGAAGAGCCAGGGCTTTCCCGCCACTCACTCGGTGTTCCTCCACCACCTCCCACGCCACCACTTGCAGCAGACACGGCATGAAGTACACGTCCTCCGACATCTCCGCAAACACCAGCAACCCCTTTAGCAGGGTCACCAGCTCCTTGGGTGTGAACAGAGGTGGCTCGTAGTGGCTCTCGAACTTGCCCAGAAACTTCTCCGTCACTTCGCCGTGGTCACGGAACCTCAGCTTCTCCCCCGGCACGGCTTGGCCCTTCTTTCCTTGCCTCATGTTGTAGGTCTCCTCCACCAGCTCCGAGACCTTATCCAGCAACATCTGTGGCTCCATGAATACCAGCTGGGGCAGGAGGTCGGGGAAGTAGAACAGCATGTTCAGACCGTCAAAGAAGTTCAGGGCTTCCCCACACGACTCGCCATCGATCTCCATTGACTCTGCCACCTTCTGCCACATATCTCGAGGCAGCACCTTCTTCCCCAGTTCATTTGCCACCTCCAGCAGCTTCAGATACAGAGCGTACCATCGCAACGGCACTTTCACCTCCCTTCCCCCCTCCCCCACCTCACTAAGACACTCCCGAATTCTCTCCGCACACTCCCTGTCCTCCTTCTCCGGCTTTGCCGCATTCAGTGTGAACACAAAGTCGTCCCGTTTCGTATCGCAGTAGATGAGCTGCTCCCTGAACTGAGGCAAGAGGATCTCCCTCAGCCTCTTGTGCAGAGTGTCCAGCACTCCGGGCAGCTGCTCGTCTGCCACCATGTCTCGGTGGGTGGCCAGAAACATCATTTTGGCGGGAGGGATGTCGGGGTTCTTGTTGTTCAGGGATCTCATGGTCCGCACGCACAGTCTCAGGGTCCCTTCATTGGTCAGGTAGGCTGGGTACTCCCACACTAGCTTGCCGTCTTTGAAGTAACGGATCATCGCTCGCTCGTCTAGAGACTCGTGGAGCTTCAAGACGTAGACGAATTTTGATGCACATCTCAGGAAGACGGGCATCATCTCCAGAAGCTCGGGCTGGCCGCCAGAGTCCAGCATGAGGAACTGCTTCAGTTGCAGGATGGGCTCCAGGGAGGTAGGAGCACTGTTGATGAGATGTACAAACCCCTCGTCCACCGCACTCGAAAGCAGCAGGGAATCCAGCCTCCCTTCTGCCACCTGCCGCTCTCTGGTCCTGGGCTTCTCCTCCGAGGATGCTGTACTCTTCCCGGCTGCTTCAGACGTGGAGCTACTCTCTCGCTCTCTGGCTCCATGCCGTATCCTGGCCCAAACTTTCTTCACCTTGTGTTTTAAGTTTTTAGACGTTGAATTATTCGTCTTCTCTGGTGTTGGCTGAGCTGACTGGCTGGCTGTGGTGTGGGGAGACTGCTGGTCTGGGGAGGCTGGGCCACCACTGCTCTGTACTACTGATTGTTGCCGTGGCATTCGCGACTTGATTACTTCAGCGACGACGTCTCGCAGTTGGTCTAATATTCGTTTCTTCCACTGTTTTTTGCCGTCAACGTCCACGAACATGACCTCGATGGGTCTTTTCATCACAGGAGTGCTGCGTCGGATGGTGGGAGGGTCCACTCCGAGTAGTGCAGCGAGGGAGCACGTCTTGCCACTGCCAGCATTGCCAAACAGCAGCAATTTGTCCAGGTCCAGCTCAATGTGGCCTCGTTTCATCTCCTGCTTATAGATCTGCTTGGAGCGGAATCTTCCTGCATGGGAGTAAAGTGTACATGTTGAAGGGAGTGTCAACCAACCAAGAAAGTCCACTGTACCAGTGGGGAACAGCTGCTGCAGGTGATCCAATGCTCTGAGACTACTGCCGTCACCCACGTCCGCCTCAGTCATGTAGAGAGCCCATGCCACAAGAGTCCAGGATGGTGCTGGATGTGAGGAGATGAAGGAGAGAATGAGGGCCTGTTTGCACTCTCTGTCACTGGTACACTGTGCTGATCCGTCCCATCTCAGAGTCTGGTATGTTGGCATATCCACCAAACCTCCTCCACAGACGGTCACTCATGATGTCTAGAAACTGTGGAGAGGTTCTCTGGAGTGAGACTGGC